AATTTGGTGAGGTATAGTATTTGTGCAAAAAAATTTACAATATTCCGTGAGAACTTCGACATATAACCGCAAAGCTCTACGATGGGCGAACAATCAATGAATCATCTGAGCTATGATGAGCTATCGTCCTACTCAGACAATTTACGGGAACTTTTAGCAGGTCACCTCGGAAAGTTCCCGTAGAGCCCTCGGGAAGTTAATGACTGTGTTGCTTTTAATATCAAGTCTCGAGAATTTCATTTTTACGGCTGGATTTGCCTACGTGCTAAATGAAACCCTCGGGAAGTTTGGCAAATTAGCTTGCCCCTCTGGAAGTTTCCATGAATTGTCTAACAATGGAAGGATACTTGGATGCCGTAGCCATTCATAATGATTTGTATACCAAAAAATGCGCTTTTGATTGTTGGTTCGTAGACTGTCTTTCATATCTGCGAAACGATAATCTGAATGGAGTTATGATTTTTTTTCATTAAAAAATTGCGTTCCTGGGGAGGGTCAAAATCATCAATAAAAAATTTTCTCTCCTTTCCAAATGCTGAGTATGATCCAGATAGTCTAAGTAAATATTACTACGTCTAAAATTTTCTTCAGTAGCATCAAACGGTAGGCTAGATCAAATCTGGTGCTTTTTACTATCCAAAAGTAGGCTAAATTTTCAAGGAAAAAAGTTCATAACTTTCTTCAAAAGACCGTTTCGCAGATTTCGAGCACAGATTCAGAATCTGCATTCGAAGGCGCATTTTTTGGTATACAAATCATTAGGAATGGCCGCGGCATCCAACTATCCTTCCCTTGTAAGTAGGAATTTTGGGAGGCACGTTTGCCAGTTGCAGTCTGACATGGCCGGATAGCACCTGAAACCGTAAGATGAGAAATTCATTTCTAGCACTGCGTCTATTCTCTTCTTGAGACTTTGCAAATCCTTTAACATTCAAAGTTTTCGATTCCATGCAAGTTCTTGATAGGTGAAAGTGATGCATGATTCACTGATAAAACTGCCTTCACCCCATTCTTCTCGTTTTTCAGCTGTAAGGAGCGACTTTACCCGATCCTGACCCGTAGCCCCTCCCAAGAAAACCCTGAATCGTCTATAGATCCTGTTCATTGTCTGTGCACATGTTTGATGCGCAGTTTCTCATCGTCCCTGTCCGATATGTGTGTGTGTTCTTAGCCGATTTCTTTCGCAGTATCTAGGTGTTCATGACACCGAAGGCATGACCAATCGAGAGATTTGCTGTCTCTCCTTGTGTGTCTGTGTTGCATTGCCCGACGGACGAGACGCCTGAAAAAGAAGGGTGTCGCTCTGACCCCGTTATCCACTTCTCATCCCCCCCCCTGTCATAAACTCATCCCCTTCGCCTTCTTTGTTTCTTGATTTTCCATGAAAAAGTCTTCTTGGTGGATGGAGGAAAGCATAGAAAGGTATCGTTCAGGAAGCGGTCGTAAGATTGTAAGCGGTTTGCCATATGTTTTTTGAAAAGGATAAGAGATAATTTCAATAATTTCAATATTCCAATAATTTCTTATTCTTTATTCGGAATTGTAGAGACCGACCAGCTAGACATACTCTGTGGCTCGGCACACAGGTGGCTTATGAGCAAGTTGAATATCGTTTTTGGGGCAAAAACAGAGGGGATATCGCTTTTCTGGCTGAAGAAATACAGTTTGGGTGACGTTTTTTAGTCGACGTTTTTTTACGGTTGTGATTAGGGTCAAAGGGAATTTCGTAAAATTTTGTGAAAGTCAAGGGGAATTCGTTTTTTGCATTTTGCAAAGCCGTTTTTTTATGCAAAGCCACTTCGTACCTAACCCTGCTCGAGTCTATTAGCTTTGATGATCGTCAAAAGGTGGTTAGATAACCTTTGAAAAGCCAAATTCAAATTATTCCCAGTCCTCTAGATTTCACTGTAAACTTCAACTCTGCAACTCATTCTTCTCAAAATTACAACTCATATAGCTTTCTAATGACAAAAATTTCTCTATTCAGTCAAACCATTTCTGTTCTAGGGTTTTAAATTTTTCCAGCTGACTGCCGCTTATCACATCATAGGCTTTCTGACTTACAGCCAGAAAGATTTTCCGGGAAAATAGGAATGTGCTGAAACAAGATTCCTAGAGAACTAAAAATTTTACTTAAAATTCTGCCTAAGCCGTTGTTACGAAGAAGATTATTTGGTACAAATAAAAAGAATTTCGTGAAATGATGGCTTTTTTAGTTTAACCTCCTTTTAATGCTCTTGATATGAACGTAGTTTTACGGCAAGGGAACTGAGTAATTGCTTTGTCCTTTTTCCTCTCTTCCCTCCCCTTTCCAGTTTCCAGTTTTGCTTTTGGTGCCTAATACTTGACTTCAAGATTTACCGACTTATCTCATTAGGGTCATGTCCATTTCACCGCATTTGATGCATATTTGATGGTCGTGATGTCACATTTTTCTCCCAAATCTGTCCTGATTAAGACTCTTCAGCGTTTCAAGGCTTTTATGTTTTATTTTTTGTTACTCTCTCTACAAATTATACTTTTCGGCATTGCCATGTGTGATCAAATCAAGTTTTCGGATTGCTGGAAATTATCGTGCCTTTATTTCGATGGGAAATTACAGGCAATTTTGCTTGATGTTTTGGCAAGCTAGTTTCTAGAAAAAAAATTACAAGATGCCATGTAACTTTAAAAGAAAATTGTCCTTTCCTTGCTGCACGCCTTCATTTATTCTTCCTAGCGCATGTTTCATGATTAAACTTTACGTTCCTGCAAAGACACTTTGCTAATCCAAACTTCCGTGATCCTGTTGGTGAATCGTGTTTTCATTGTTTACCTAGATCTAATCCGCACTACAACTTGATTTGGAGCGTGTTTTTCCGTATAGCGTCGAATTAAGGTTAAAGGTATCGCACGAGACGAGATTTCTCTGGATAGCAAGCGCTGTCGAGAGAGAGATATGTTGTCACTTAAGTGCAAAGCAAGTGCACTGTATAGTGTGAACAGCACTCTTAAAATCCTCTTCCAGCTCTAATTTTCTGGAATTTTTCGATTATTGGGACCACCATGAGATCACTGCGCTATCAGTTTACAAAACTGTAACAGTTTTAAAATTTTTTGCAGAATATCTCAACCTGCTTTGTTCTTATATAAGGCGTTGCCATGATAAGGCTATGCCTTGAGCAGAAGTACTCAAAAACGATATAAAAGCCGAATCTTGTAAGTTTCGATAAGCCCTCTTTGCCTACTGTGAGGTCCCGGAACAGCCCGCAACCGTATTCTCCGCTTGAGAGCCAGCAAAAACTGAAATCTAATAATCAGCAATTTTCAATAATTCCTGAAACTTTCGCCCACTCAATTTGCGCTAATGACTGCTTTATCCTTCTAAACTTCTCTTCCGTTCCATCCTTTTTGATTGTAATCCTCTTTTCAAAGATCTCGAAAGAGCACATTTTTGTCTCAAATGTTTCGTTCGATTATCTCTTCGTTATCCTTTAGTTTTCTTCACTTCATCCTTATAACACCAAAAATCTTTCAAACCGTTTGCTTGTAACCTCAAGTCATTCGTAACTTAGTATGTGAGACTGCACACTAAGCCCTATTAGCGACGGCACCCTTACTGGTAACTTTTTAGTGAAACATTTTCTAGCCTAACACAGTGTAGAAGCGCGTTCTATTGGTTAACATGCAACAAAAGCAAAAGAGACAAAGAAACAAACAGAAATCACTGGAAATGAGTAATTATAGTTTTGCTGCTCGTCATTTAGCGTGTTTAGTGTGCACTATGCATACGAATGACTCGACAATAGCATATATGAGTTAATGAACTCAACTCTTTATCATTTCCATTTCTCACTGTCATCTACTAGATTATCTGTAAATAGATAAGACTTTTACTGACAACCATAGTAGAACAAGTAAAAGACGTACAGGAATTTTAGGAGTCAATCAACTCTGATTCTAAAGTAATTAATAATGCATTCACATTGTGATCACAAAGTTGTTTTAATGATGCGATCTTCTGCCTCCCAAATTCAGTGCACCAAATGCTATTTAGACACAGGTAGAAAACTTTAGTGTTTTATACAGCAAGAAGATTAGCACAACCCAATTCCTAAACATTACGCTTTGGCCCTTTAAATACTCAAGGCCACATTTCAAAATCCTATAAGTGTTGTGGAGAGCTAAGGAAGGATGCACTAATTTGCTTAAGATGCTGTATAAAAAATACATTCTTCCAAAATCTCGTCGAGTTTTTTCATTACTATCCAGCTGCAAAGGGAGAATGTACCATAAAACTTTAGTGATGTTGTCGATACGATAGCTAGAGCTTTCCTGCCATCCGAAGCCTTGAACGGGAGAGGAGGAACTCAAACAAAATATTCTTCAGCTAGGTAATTTGAATGGAGCAACACTAGTTAGAGAAATTCTGGAGTTTTTTCAAAGATTTGGGAAAGCTTAGCACAGGGATTTGGCTAAACGAATCCTTAGAGATCAAATTTTGTGAGCGCCCAGAAAACAAGAAATTCTTTGCTTTTTCTATCTCAAACCGGGAAAACAGCAACTTTCCATCTTTAATGATCATTGCGACATTTGAAGCACAAATTCTCAAGAGCTCTCCATCTTTCTCACATTCTCCTTAAAAAAAAAAGACCTTTTATGGAATGAGAGGCGGACATCGAATTACACAGATGACAGCGCCTCGCCTGACCTGTCGAGCTCGAAACGAAATCGAAATTAGGCGTTCGCACAGTTTCCATTGTTATGAACTCTCTGGCTGATTTCGATGATTTTTTGCGTGTGTTCGGAAGTGAAGCGAACGCGATGAGGTCGCAATCGCAGCCAGCTGCGATCCAGTCCTCATCTCATGCGATGGAAGATGACGTTTTTCATAATCTCTTCTTACGTTCGTTCCCCCGTTGCGTGATCGCTTGAGCGATTATTGCTGTGGTTTTGTTATGCTTCAACAATATATGCTTCAAGGACCATTTTCATTGATTTATTCCTTTCGAATTTTTCAGATGGGCCGGCTGGCCTTATTATCCCTCGTCGTTGTTGTTACTCGTTATACCGATGCGGTAAAATTCACCGAAAACGATGAGGAAATTACAGTACCAAGCCGGTTGAAGGTGAGGTTTCGTTTTTTGTCAGAAATTTATGCAAAGTCTTAACAATTATTCAACAAAATTTTCGCAAAAGAGACTCAAATAAAAGCATGCAAAAAATTTTTGGTTCATTTTCTACGCTGTCCCAAAAATTTAATATTTATAAAATCAAGAAATTCGTGTTCATAGGTGCAGATACGGGTGAAAACTGTGAAAAATAGCAGCCTGTTCGAAAATTTGTGAATTTTTCTCTCCATGTAAGGTTTGTCGATATGCTTTGCAAAAAGAAATTCATGCACTTCAAGTGGTTTTGGGGCAAATCATTTGCAATAAAATCAAAATTATTTGAAATACATATTAGGCAAGATCCTATTACATTAACAAAATACAACAAGTTTTGCAAACAACTTAAGATACGTTATACATAGTGAATATTTTTTGAACATTTTTAGAACGAACTAAAAATTTTTGAACGAGGATTGCGAACTTATGGAATGTGTGCAGTCTATGATACGATTTGCACAGCGATCTTGAGTTGGTCCATCGATATGAAAAAATATATTTTATGAGACAATTATGTATACTTGCCCCTGCCATAATATGCTCATTAGAAAGTAATAAGTTTTATCTACTCGTGTTAGAAGTAACTTCCTTTCCTCTCACGAGATAAATAAAAAAATATTTCTCCTACTGTTCCGTCCAGGAAAAAAGTTTCTGTGGATTGAATATGAGTGTACAGTATCCCTACCGTAATATAAGATTGTATTAGAATACTCGTATTAGAAGTAATTTTCCTTTTTCTCACAAGATGAATGAAAAAATATATTTTTCCTATTGTTCTATCAATGAAAAAATTTTCTGTGGAATAAATATGGGTATACCGTAACTCTACCGTAAGCATTGTTAGAACGTATAAATACTCACCCCTATAATGTAAATCATTCTTTCATCTCTTACTCCTTAGATTGCAAAGAGCATGTAACGCATAAGTTCAATTTAATCGTCGTAAACCAAACGGATGACCGCATTTCTCCACAGTGACACATCACGCTAGGATTAAATAAGCAAATGTTTACCATCATGACCTTCCGAATTCCGCTATTGCAGGTCAAGGATTAGGGAGTGGGTCTAGTTAAATCTACAGGGTAGAATGAGAGCAAGCGAAAACACAAATAGGGGATGAAACATATGAAAAAATTCGATGAAACAACCTATTAATAAATTTAAAAGTATGGTATCTTCAGTGGCCCCTGTAACAACAGATATTTTTGCGAGCCAAGAGTTTGAGAAACATTTGCGTGAATACCCATCGTAATCCTACCCTAAGAAATCATAATACACATCGTCTTATAATTTTGTTGTTACGCGTCCCTAAAAGGGCATTTGCAAGAAGTAAATCTTACCCATTAACCTTTCGCTCAAATTTATACTCTATACCTGTTCTATCTAAAGAATATACATTTGAGACCCCTCAGATTTCTCCACAGCTGCCTGTGACTCAATTTCAAAAGAGTTTTGGGCTTTAGCAACTCTAATATAGGAATCTATTTCGCGTAAGTTCAGATTTATTAGGAATTATGGAATTATTTTTATTATCTGAAACCAATAAGGTGAAGTGCCCAATTTTTGGTCATGTAGACTTTTTTCCGCTCCCAAAATTTCGCAACTATTTTATATTATTATGACACATCTATGAACACAACAAGCACCAATATTCGTTGTCTGTAGTCACACAAATCCACAATTTTCAGTATCGACAAGAAACACTTCATTCACACGTGAGGGAGTGGATTGACGGTCCCGATGGTCGCGTCTATCAGTTCCATGCTGGTGAACAAAGTTGGTTGCATGCCAGAGAATTTTGCTTGTCTCAAAACTCAGACCTAGTCATTATAAGGGATAAGGAGCAGCTGGTGAGTTGAAAGCACTGAGTGATATATTGAGAGTTAAATCTTGTTGTTCAGGATTGGCTTTTGAGCCACTATGCGCCTACTTATACTCGATTCAATGAGCGATACATGCAGGTACCGATACTGTAGTTTTAAGATGATATTTTTCGCGACATAGCACAAGGATCTATTTTTAAGATCGGTCTGCTTATGCCAGATGGTCCAAACCGCGACTGGGTATATCTGGATGGTTCACCATACAATCAGTCTGTTGTGTGAGTTCCCCATCGTTGTTCAAAACTTGAAAACTAGTCAAAGTAGGAATTACTTGAGTCATTTGTAACTTAATAAGTAATCTGAACATTATGCTTGGTAACCGACAGTCCTGCTAGTAATTCCTCAGCAGATTTTCTAGACAAACTATACAGGGTGTCCCAAAAAAATGTTAACACTGTTTGATCGTTAATGACTCCCTTGCTTTCAAGTCTTTCGCCAAGCGTTAGGTACCATTTTGTAGAGCGAGGATAAACTTAGATTTACAGTATCGATTGAATCATCCAACGCTCCTCGTTACTGTAGAATTACGGTAGGAAATTCCAGCATGTGGAACCGTCGTGAAATAAGCACTCTGACAAAATTTTATTCAAAAAATCTGAAAAATCGTGTACTAGGGTTTTCGCGCACGCTGATTTTACTACACAACTTTTTACGAGTGTTTTCAGCTTTTTTGACGGTGTAATCACGTTTTTGACACATGCTGGGAAGTCAGTTATTAAACTTTACCTAGGATAACTTTGAAAAGAAGTATCGTAATGAAGTGAAAATTTCATATCCGAAATCAGCAGCTTTCATTACCATAGTAAAAGAGATTTTAGCTTGTTTGGCTCTGTTTCGAAGCAGAAAATGGGCTTTAATGGCCTAAAATCTTGTCAAATTTCCTACCGTAATTCTACAGTAAGGAGGAGAGTTAGATGATTCGCTCGATACTGGAAATCTAAGTTTATCCTCGCTCTACCAAACGGTACCTAAAGCTCGGCGAAAGACTTGAAAGCAAGGGAGTTATTAACGATCAAACAGTGTTAACATTTTTTTGGGACACCCTGTAGAAATGTGTACCACTAACCGGTATGTATTGATTTTTGTAAAAGCGACAAGTAAGCGAAGACAAGCCACTACAGTGGAGCAGGTTTCAAGCTTAGAAGTCGTCGAGTAGTGCGCATGGTGTGCAATAAGGATATTAAGTAACAAATAACTCGATATGGGTAAGCTCACTAACTATGATTAATCTAATCCTCCGAACTTTTTGGACTGAATCCCTGCTGCGATTTACTTATTGCCACAAAACCGAGGAAAGTTCACAAATGCTTTATGTGGGTACTGTATTCAGAAATTTAACGAGGAAGTTAGTAGTTTCTCTATATTGAACGAAAAAAAACACTTTTTAAGCCACTTTTCTCAAGGAGACATACATCACGCGATTTCATCGCCTAGCGATTCTCTCAACAAGACAACTGTTACCAGTTCATTGCATACTGATCATTTTGCCCTTCGGTCGTGATAGTTTTCCGACGCGACTGATCGCGAATAACTATCACAACCGAAATGCATGCAGTGAATTCTTAACAGTTGTTTTGTTGAAAATCGCGAGGCGAAGAAATCGCTTGATGTATGCCCGGCCCTTTAGACTGACGGTGTAAAAACTCGCATTATCTCCCTGTATTTGGGAGCTATGACATTCTTTAATAAGAACGATGAGTGTGTGTAGCGGGAGGGGGAGGGGGGGGGGGGGGAGGATATGAGGATATGACTAATTGGAGTACTCAAAAGGCTAAGATATTTTCTGTGCAAGATCATAAACTTCTTACTTGGTTTTAACAATCAATTTGAACATGTGTATGAAAAGTTCTCGTCCGCAGTGTTAAACCGGCTTTTTCTTCAGGTTCTTTTCATTTGCAATTTTCAGCTTTTTCCCTTAAAATTGCCATACGTGAATAAAAGATTTTCAGACCCTGGATGTCTGGAGAGCCATTCGACCATTCATTAGATGGTCGTGAACGTTGCGGAATTCTTCGAGTCCATGCTCGACTTCTTGACGACATCGACTGCGAAGCAGCACCGAGCCCAAATGTTCGAATGCGATTTATTTGTGAACGAGAACAAAATGTGCATAAAGAGGTACAAAAAAATCCATAGACAAAATAAAGACTGGAAAAATTAGGATGAATTTCTTTTAGCAACAAAAATCACAGAACTTTATCTGGTCAAAATTGGAAAAGTTACTAGAATTTTTTGGATTCACAAACGGGACCACACCGAGCACAAAACCGCAAAACTCGACAGAATCTAGCGAGGACTATGAGGACGAGGTAAACACTTAATTGTTTGATACTTCGTTTTCAACTTCAAAATTAAGGTGAAAAGGCTCAATATCTCTTCGAGTGAAGCAGAAAAGCTGAAGAATATAGAAGTAGATAGGGAAACATCTAGCGAAGAACAAAAAGCAGTGGAAGCTGCTTTGAGTGTACTCAACAAAGTTAGCAAGGTTAGTCATTTAGGCATAGGCCCCTATACAGCATCTTTTTAGCCCTTTGAGATGCATGTAGGGCTTTCCTCCTATACAACAACTGAACGGTGAATTTGAAATTCTAAAAAATGACTTGCTTGAGCTTTCATAATGCAAATAGTCTAAGTTCTTGATAAAGTTAGGCATCAAAATGTATTGATCAATATTGTCGAACCGGGGCATACTGTATAACTTTGATTATTTTTGCTGACAATCTTGATAGAAACTTTTACCTTTACTAGTTAATAGAGGCATTTTTGAAAAGACATAACAAAAAAGTACATAACTAATAACCAGATAACAATAAAGGCAATACTAATAATAATCATAATCATTATACTGGTAAATAATCAAAATTTTCCGTAAAAATCAGTTAAACTAGGAAGTTTTCCAAATGTGTGAGGAAATGCTGGTGTTAAACCTGAGAAATTCCGAAAAACTTGATAAGAAGGGGTGGGGGGCGGGCAAAATCGCGCCCCTTTTTCATCTAGCAAAAGGTATTGCATCCACACTGCTTCTAGCCCCTTCCGTAAGTGTCGCTTCCAGGATTTCCGTCCGAGAGGGGGGGGGGGGGTGGAAATTTTTCTTCAAATGAAAGTGAGTGGTGTTAGACACGCACTCCGATAACTTCTTTTGGATAGTCTTCAAAATTTTGCGGGCCCATAACCTTTACATTTTAGAAAAAGACGGCATGGCGGAAAATTTTTTTACAGAGCTAATTTGATTTTTTTAAGAATTTCAAAAATTATTTTAATTATTTACAGATATAAGTAAGTTGCTTGCACTATTTTATAACCCGTGTAAGTGTAATTTTCAAGAATTTCGCGACCCATGCTTCGCGCAGCCCCCCCCCCCCCCGCCACTCTCCCTCCTAGGACCGCCATTGCCTTCCATCTAAAAAAAGCTCTGCTGAATAGTTCTTGGTACATAATAATGTTCCAGCCAGGAGAAAAAGCTGACTCAATGCCAGAAGAAGAGGAAGAAGAGACATCACGACCAGGTTCGCAAGAGGATCGACCCCCCTCGAGCACTGAATTACTCTCTGGTAAGCTTTTATGCGCCAACCATACACATCCTTTACGTCAATTATTCTTCGTTCATCCAGTCATAAGCTCATTTATGGGTTTTGTGGTTCAAGCAATCATTCATTCATGTACACCACTTTTTCAATCATGCATATATTCTATAAAATTTCCCAATTTCAGGCGCTTTTTTCTCTGCAAATGATTTCTTAATTTGGATGTCAAACCTGTCTCACCCTTATGCTTCAATTGTTGATTATTTCCCCGATCCTTACCCATACAAACATTTGACCACCCATCTATAGCGGAGTCGTTTGTTCCTAATGTGGCACTGCACACCGCACGCTGCACCTTACGACTAATTAGTAAACCGATAAATATGAGTATTCGGAATAAATTGTTAAAAAGTGTAGTTACACATGTTCGTACCTTTTTTAGCTCTTTATCTTATGCAAAAAAGAAGAAAGAAATCAAACGTAGAACTTTTATACTTATAGGATGCAAGTCGTGGAATACAGCGCGTGTTGTGCAGTACCGTAATACGCTACAAACTACTCAACCGGAACTTCATGTTTTTCATTTATTTCTTTCCAGAATCACCAAACGTCTTCTAAAACTCTTATCGCTTGTAGTTAGTTCAACATTGGCTCATTTATTTCCATTCAGGACCCAAGATATCAACTCAAGCCAAGATTTTCATTGAAGCAACTCCCATAACCGAAGCTACCAATACAGCAACTCCTGAAGCAGGAAACACTACCGAAGCCGTTACCGAAGGTGTCACAGTAAACCCAGAAGACACTACACCAAGCACCGATACTAGTTCTGTAGCTGCACAGGAAACTACCGTAACCGCAGAGGAGACTAATACGACTGAGGATGAAGCTACCGTAACTGCAAATGAGGCAACTGTAACCGCGGACGAGACTAACGCAAAAGCAGAGGAGGCTACCAAAACCGCAAAGGAAGCTACCGTAACCACAGAAGCTAGCACCGTAACCAATGAAGCCACAAGCGTAGAGACTTCATCAGCTGATACCACAGCAGACGTCACGACAGTCGCGACCTCAGGTGAAGTAGCCAGGGTCCATGCCGCTCCATTGAAGGAAATCTCTGAAATTGAAGGTAGTGGTACTGGCGTGGAACGCGCAGAAATTGAACAACATGATGAGTCAGCCAATGTTACCGAGATTGATCCAGAAAAGTTGGAAAAAGTTATTAGCACGATGGAGAAAATGATAGACAAACTGGAAAAGATACAAGTCAAGGATAAGAAGACAGAGAAGGAGAAGGAAAAAGAAAGGAACAAAAAAGAAGGCAAAAAAGATAGCCTGAAAAAGGAAACGGCTAAGACGGTGAAAACGAAGCAAAGCCTTATAAAGATTAGTCAGGTAAGCGAATTGTTTATAGCTAGTAGAAAGCTTGATATGGTGTCCTTGCGGTGGTGACAACATTTGCGCGGAAGAAATGTCGATTGCGTCGATGTATTGCTTGCTGTTTGCCAGCGAAAAGTGCCCGTGATTGCGCGACCGCCATCATTCACGCGCAAATGTTATCGTCACCGCAAAGGCACGATATCAAATGCCAAATTTGAAACATATATCGGATTGGACATATGAAATTATAATTTCTCTTTTTTTAGAAGATTCGAGAAGATATTGAGACAGTGACTGCTATGGAAACCGATTTTGACGAAGATGCAAATAGAAACTTGGTAAAGTATAATTCAAAGGCCTTTGTTTTACAGTTTCATGATTTTTCTCCGATTCAGCCGAGCACTGACATCAAACCACCGGAGGAAGAATGCGATGAAGAAGCTAGCGGCGAAAATTCCACAACTCCTATCCCGAATGAAGAAATAATAAGAAATTCTATCGACACGGAGGATGTAGACGATCTCAGTCAAAAGCCAAAGATACCAGCTGAAAAAGAGGCGCATATCCAGGACTTCTTGATTACCTTGAGGACATTTCTTAGCAGAGCGGAGCATAGCGATTTGAGGTGAGGAACACGAAAATTTTAATTGGAAGTACTGAAGGCAAAAAATCCAAGCAGAGCAAAAATCTGAACCAGCCTCGAATTTTGCTGTACCTTGACATAACTCTATAGCTGCAGTGGTTCGAATTTTTCGAAGGGGGTGGAACAAATTTTCCGAATAAGTGAGTATGGCGTTTGATGTGGCAAAATCTTTTTCGCGACTTCAATTTTAGTAAGCCCACAATGGATATTTCAACAAAGCTTCTTGGAATATTCAAGCATTTCTCATCACTTTCCGTCATTCGCAGATTAAAAAGCTGTTTCATAACTTTAACTAACTTGGAGCAGGTTCTTGAAAGGGGACGGGATTGACGAAAAGTTTATGTGAAAGAATTATTGACAAAATTTCCAGAAAACTTCTCGATCAACATCCAGAAAAGACATTGCTCGAAAAAATGAAGCTGGCTATCAAAGCAGCCAATGAACGTGAATTCGAGCGAATGAAGGAGCTTGCATTGATGAAGAAGCATGGTGTGGACATTTCACATGTGAGTCATGTCAGATTCTTATTGGGACCAGTCATCCCGGAATATCAAATCAAGACTGTTTTTACTTTGTATTCGGTGATAAACAAAAAAAGTGCGGTATTTAAATAATTCCTAAATCTTTCTGCACTAGTTTTCGCTTTTTTTCGCGAACGTCAAACATACATGTATGTCTGATTTGAAACTAAAAATGATTACTTATCAGCAACATTTTGGTCTAAGGGAATTTCTTTCCAGTATCTTCGCTTAATTTCAAAGAAGCAAAACGAGCAAATAATTTCATTTTTCTTCTTTGCTTTGGACCTGATGGATTTTAGTAAAGTGAAGGGTTACTGTAACTTTATGTCAGCTTTGTAAACTGAGAAACTTTCAAACTCTCTAGGGGAAAACTTAGATTGTGCTGCATGAAGTCCCTCGTCCTCTTTTCCTCTCTCCCGTGAAAGAAAAAACAACAAAGAATCTTGTTCCTTTGTCTTCAGGTCCCAGAGCCGAAACTTATGGGTGAAAGTGAACGCGAAGAGCTGTACAAAAAGATCAGCAGGGTGGTAATGGTTGAAGCCGAGAAGAAAGACGATGAAACGATTACTCAGCCATCGGCTGTTCGTACAACAACGCAAGAATCGCATCGTGAGAAGAAAAGTCAGGTAAGATTTGCTTTTCTAATCAACATAACCTTTGATTCAACTGGATTGGCGGCTGGAAGGCGGGGCTGTGTGACCTAACTAAGCCGCTCGCTCCCGCAACGCAGTCTGCGTCTCTCTCGCGCGTCCTCTCTGATCGTTCTCCAGAATTAACTAGGTCACGAAGCCCCACCTTCCAGCCGCCAATCCAGTTGAATCAAAGCGCAATTTCAAATTACATAGACTGTCTCCTACTGTGAGGCGAACACCAAAAGTTTGCATTTTCAGGCCAAGGGAGTTGTCATAAAAAAGGCCTCAGACGACTCAGCGGCAGACAAAGAGACCCTAAAGGGTAAAAAGAATAAGAATGGAAAATTGAAGGATGCCGGCTCTGTTATCGACGAGGACAACGAAAAAAAGCAACCCAAGAAAAATAAAGAAGAAAAGCAGAAAGAGAAAAATAAGAACAAAGAAGAGAATCCAACACCTGAGGAGAAGAGTGAAGAAGGAAAACCAAAGAAAAATGAAGAGAAGAAAGCGGAGGAGAAAGCGGAAAAGGAAGCAGAACAAGAGAAGAAAGAAGTGGAAGGTGAAGTAACCGTAAAATCTAGCGCCGAAATGCCGGCTAGAACCGTACAATTGAAAGAATTTGAAAACAAAGAAGAAATCATGAGTTTAGAGTCAAAAATTGATGAGATGGAGGAGTCAGCAAAGCGGAAGAAAGCGGGAAGAGGAAAGAATCTCGTTTCCAACGATGAAGAGAGTGATGGAGATCTAACAAAGAAGGAAGATTCAACCACTAAGGCTAAAAAGGACTCAACGACAGAGGCAACCACAACTGCTGGTAAAAACAAGAATACTGTAAAGACGGAGTCCGTAACTGCAGAAAGTAAAGGTGAGGTAAAGGATGTGAGACCCGAAGCCGAAGACGATGACAACAGCTTCGATTCTGAGCATGTGGACAAATCAAACCTGGACGACAGTTTTGATTCGGATCAGGTAGATAGAGACGATGAGTTAACCCGACCCACAGGCGAAGAGGTAGAGGAGGAAGTTTCCACAGTCAAGATTCCCCCACCTAAAGAAGAGGAGGTAGGAACCGAGAAGACTCCAAGCGCACTTCGAAAAGAGAAACGACGTCAGGAAAGATTGAAGAAGATGAAAGAGAATAAGCAGAAAAAAGGCAAACCAGGCAAAGCGACGACAAAATCTACATCAGAAGACTCCAATTATGACAAAGCAAATGTTTCAGACGATGATGATGACGATGATAGCGACGAGGTCCCAGCTTTCCCAACCTTACCTACTCTCCCTACCTTACCACCTCTAGGCCAAACTTTAACCGCACAAACGCTCCCTACACTGCCGCCACTTACGCCACCTCCAGGTTTCGACAATTTGCTACAAACATTCTCCGAAAATTGGCGGAAGATCTTTCCCGATGCCAAAATACCCACATTCAAAGCAGACGAATAAAAACTAAGATATTGTTGTGAATTCTGTTGTGCTGATCTGAATTATGGGTGCAATATTTCGTCTTCTCTTTTTTTTGTATTATAAAGTTGTTGTGCAGATTGATAAATTTTTATTAATAATGCTGCGTTTTGATTGTAGTACTTCTCCAAGAAAAGTGCCCTGCTGACTCAAAGCACCCGAGGTCTTTAAAAAAACTACGGGATTTATGTCTTGAAGAAAATGTTTGTATGCCGCTGGTTTGCAAAATAAAAACGTCTCTGTTTATAGCAACTAAATACTAACTCAAAGACACCGTTCAATTCAACTTTACATGATGCACTTTTCTGAAAATGCCTACCCGATACTGTAGGTATACGTTAGGTAGCATCTATCAGTTTTTGCGAATCTTCAGATCTATGTTCTTATAAGGGAAGGATACTTCGTCGAAGTGGCTTTCCATTTGAAATGTACACTTTCTTATAGAGCATAAAACGCTAATTTCAAATCTGTTTTCCTTATCTGCGAAGCATTTCTGGGACGAAAGCTATGAGAATTTTTTCATGTGAAATTTGAAAGTGCGGTACAATAAAATCAATTGAAACTTTAGTTTGAGAGCTCAAATGGAGCCATGATTACTACCAGGGGCTTTTACAATAGACAACTTATATCTTACATACTCATGCCAGTCATTACTCCTTTTAAGCGCCAAAGATCTCAACACCTGTTTTTTCAAATCATGAAGAAAAAATCCCAGAACTCCCCTTCTAGAAGCCCTTTGCAGATAACGAAAGCAGATTTGAAATCAGCATTTTATGTCCTATAAGATAGTATGCATTTCATATGGAAGCCATCTCGACCAAATATCCTTCCCTTGTTAATAATTACTCAGCAGCTTACACCACATTGGCCAGTGTTAAGATGTAGGGTACTTACCTGGTTTGATTGCTTCAGCGGAAGCCAAGATTGGTACAGATCTTTATTGCAAGGTATATACGATCTAACAAGGAAAGGATACTTGGTGTCCCTGGCCATTTGGTATGCGATGTATACCATAAGGTGCATCTCGAAACGCTGATTCTAAATCTGTGCTCGAAATCTGGGAAACGATCATACGAAGGCAGTTATGAACTTTTCTCGTAAAAAATTTGCGTACTTTTAGGTTGTTGAAATCACTCAGTTTGGTCTATTTCACCGTTTGAAGCTATTGAGGAAAATCTCGAGAGGTGTACGTTGTATTTATACCTATCTAAATCATATTCAGCAATTGAAGAGAAAAGAAAAAATTTTATTAATGATTTTCACCCTTTACATTAGGGCAAATCATTCTTGAAAAAATGATTATAACTCCATTCAGATTCTCGTTTCGCAGATATAGAAAACAGTATTCGAACCAGCATCAAAAGACGCCTTTTCTAATATACAAACCATTATGAATGGTCGGGGCCACCAAGTATCCTTCCCTGTTATAAGTTTCTGCAAACTTTCCAAACGTTTTGCGTAGTCGCGCAAAATCTAAAAATCAACCGAAAGAACGAATGCTTAGCCATTACTAACAGCTGTTATCATATAAGTGGTGAGAGGGGAATTGCAGAGTGCGTGCAAGAATTTGCGCGTACGGGCCTAGGGCAGCATGCCGTGCGCTCGGACTTGCTCAGTTCTCATGGTTGGGGTGCAAGCGATCTTCCATATCAAGATTTCGAGATGTTCGGTTTTACCGAGCGCTAACTAAGGTTCTGTACTTCTTACCTCTTATACAAAGCTGAATTTCTGTTTGTCTGTCTGTATGTCTGTATGTATGTACGTATGTTTCGAAGTGAACCGATCCGGACCAAAGTTTGCCCTCATACATTCGCGGCGGTTCGGATGTAAATACTACTTTTCGTTATCGATCGACATCAATTTGTCGATTTTTGCAGATAAGCTACGGAGCTAAGATGTCAAAAGGATCTTCGTAAAAATCCATGAAAGTCAAGGGAGACTTAGCTTTTCTTGCATTTTCCGAAAGCCACCTTGTACGGAACCTTGCAGCCAGCACATTCAAAAAGCGCAAGTCTTTGTTGATTAAGGTGTGTACTTAATCATGAGTATGAGATTCTCTTAGTCAGCTTGCCGTGTCTTTTTCCGTGCTTACTACGTAGTTGCTTTTGTTGTCTCACCCTGTCACAAAGACGACCTCGATTGCAAAGTGCTTCCAGCAAATATCTCCAAATCAAGATTTGCAAAGTAGTATTAGGTCGTTTCAAAAGTAATTTCACGTTTTTCAAACGGGCGCCACATTTGAAGGAACAAAGGTTTTTAAGAGATTTGGAAGCATTCAATGCAGCATTTCATTCTCTTTCTAATGTTTGTGAAATTGTTGTAAAACAGTCAATAAGCTTTCAGAAATGACAATCTGCGACCCATGCTTTTTGAGATGGTCAAGTTTCACGATTTTTTAAAACTTTCATATCAATCTCCAGAAGAAGTTCAAGTAAGGATTCGATAGAGTAGACCTTATAGAATACAGCACCACTTTTTTTTCTCTTTCTCATAGCTCGCCGTAATTTTTTAAAGGATTTTTTAACAGAACCATCAGATTTTGGCAAGCCCACCTCGGCCACAATCGTATCAAACATCATAATTTTTCGGAATTTGAGACTATTAACATGATACTATGAGTTAGCATTAATTTTACAAAGCAATTGAGGATTTACGGGTTCGAAATATCAAATTTCGAGTTTTTCGGGTACAGCCTGGGGCTCGCTAAGAAAATGAGTTATGATGATTTTATAACCGAAAACGAAACGAACTGGAAACAAAAAACACCTGTTAGAAAGGGGAGAAAATGCTGCGTCGAATAGTGCGCGAGCTGCTCTTCTTTTGATGTTCTACGAGGATTTAGCTGCTCAAGTAAGGAAATCGGTAGCATCAGTTAAAATTCTATTAAAAATGTATGACATGCTATGGAAAAAAGAAAAAAAGTAGTTTTGCATTCTGTAGGGTTTTATAAAGGCGTTACTTGCATTTTTTTCGGAGGGTTGATATAAAAGTTTTAAAAAATCGTGGAACTTGACCATCTCAAAAAGCATGGATCGCAGATTTTGGTTATTTTCTGAAAGCTCATTGACTGTTTTGCAAAAATTTCATAACCATTAGAAAGAATGAAATTTGCCTCGAATGCCTCCAATATCTCTTGAAAACCTTTGTTCCGTCACATGTGGTGCCCGTTTGAAAAAAGCGAAATTACTTTTGAAACAACCTAATACAGTGCTGGCCATAGCTATAAAGCCAACCTAAAAATCACTGTAATTTGCTCTCTCTTGTTCGAAATTGTCTAAAAACCACTATTCTTTGTGCAAACTAACGTCATATCATTGAAACGGCTCCCGGTTTCATTGATTTTGGTAGGAGAAAAATTGAAAAATTTGAAAAAACGGGTTCTCAAGGCTGGTCACAGCTATAAAGCCACCTCTCATATCTAATCAATACTACGTTTTTTTTTTTGAATCTGAAGTTTTTTGTACATATACAACATCAAAATATGAGACATTTGTTACACTTGCAAGCAGTCGCCTTTTCAAAAAGAAGATTTATCCTGCATTTTTTGCCTTAAAATGTGTAAAAAGTTATAATGTTTGGAAAAACTGCCTTTTCATTGAATTTTAAGCATTTGTTTGACTCGAATGAAGGTCCTAGGCTTCGCCGAGCCTTTGCAATGAGTGTGATGAAAAGCGCCGGAGTCAACATGGCGTAGTCGCTGGTATTGATGAACGAAGCTCAATCTTATCTAGGTGTAAACGCACTTCTGAAACGCAAATCTCGATTTCTGAAGCGCGAAATTTTCGGTTGGAAGTTGACACCTTGTTTGCATGGTGACGTACTCATGCAGAAGCTGTCGGGCTTTCTACAAAGACGTATTTGCAGCAATGAACTTAGAACGCCTTGTCTGCAGTTCGGTTGTGCGCAGTGTATCTCTCACATGACTTCAAATTTTACTGCTATGAACTCCTCTTCAAGTCAAATCTTACAAAACTGTCAGAAATACAAGAATTTTGAAGTTTTGAGCGGTTTTCCGCTCGATGGAGAGGTCAGGGTGTGTCACATCAGGCAGAGTGCACCACTCATTTTTGGAAAAAAGGCGTGTAAGGCGGAACCAAAATTCTGAGAGCTGCGGCGACGTTCAAGCTATGCGCACGAGTCTATCGTTGTACAGGCGACGTGCTGAGCACGTGACGAGCTTTTCGGGCATTAGAACTCAATTTCTGCGGTTCGAAAACTCGTCTACCTGGAGGTAGGTTAAGGCTCGCTTATCAATTTCAGCGACTACGCCATGTTGACTCCTGCGCTTTTCACCATATTCATTGCAAAGGCTCGGCGAAGCCTAGGACCTTCATTCGAGTCAAACAAATGCTTGAGAATTTGGTGAAAAGGCAGTTTTTCCAAACATTACAACTTTTTATACATTTTGAGACAAAAAATGCAGGATAAATCTTCTTTTTGAAAAGGCGACTGCTTGCAAGTGTAACAAATGTTTCATATTTTGATGTTGTATATGCACAAAAAACTTCAGATTCAAAAAAAACGTAGTACTGATTAGAAATGAGAGGTGGCTTTATCGCTGTGACCAGCCTTGGGAACCCCTTTTTTCAAATTTTTCCATTTTTCTCCTACCAAAATCAATGAAACCGGGAGCCGTTTTGGTCAATGATATGACGTTAGTTTGCACAAAGAATAGTGGTTTTTCAGACAATTTCGAACAAGACAGAGCAAATTACAGTGATTTTTAGGGTGGCTTTATAGCTATGGCCAGCACTGTATCTCTAAAAACAAATGCTTTCTGTGCTCCAGTCACTTGGTCAAAGAAAGTGGATGATACCATTAAGATTGGTCTTAAATTCTCAACGGTGAACTTACGCTTAACAATACAAAGTGTAAAACAATAATTTACCAATCACTTGTTGTAATGTTGTCAGTTAGCAACCATTGATTCAAATTTCGTCAAGAAATGGGTGTACTCATGCTTTTTTCGCAAAACAACTTCAGTGGAAGTCCTCAGACTTTCAGCTCATTGCTAAAAATTTGAAAGTATTTAGCGCATTTCATAGAAAATTATTGTTTGATGGGCGACGTTGCGACTTTAAGGTCTCTTTTGGACTTTCCCAAGAGCAATCGTGCCCCCCCCCCTTTAGTACATTCTCAACAATGCTATAAATAATACCATCGTGTCGATACTCTGCTTGTTTTCCAAGAAACACCCTCTCAACCAGTGATTGGTGGAAGTGAATACAACGAATTCGTTCATCCATAACAAAATATTTTTCTTTAGGTCTATGTCAAATAACTGATTAAGAATTGCAGCTACAAAGCTCGATAGAGGTGACGCAGATTTAAACTCTGTGCGTGAACTTACGCTTGATTCTGCCAATAATCTACAAAGGTTTGTTTCATGCACATGCAGGAAATCAGTGTCAGCCAACTTAAACAGTCATCTCTAACTTTGTCGATTCATAAAAACGTCTGTTCAATCAATTTATGGTGTGGCCTTGAAAAAGTTTTCCACAGAGCCTCTAGGAATAATATTCAACATTTTAATGAACACTACACCTTCCTGTGCTCAAAGCACAGGAAAGATTGGTGGAAGTGAATACAACGAATTGCGGACTAGATTTGAAAATGAGTGTCTTTAATTCGGCTGACAAGTGTATGACTTATTGCGGTTGAAATTCAAAACGGGCAATAATTTCCGGACAACCTAATATCTAACAGAGTTGAGTGTCGTTTACGATGTGATCAACAGTCGGGCGAGTGTTATCGAGGACATTAGATGATGTCGGCAGATGAGCAAACAAATTGCTCGATTTGCACTCGAAGGCGTGTCCGGGCAAAAAGTCGATTTTGAGATTTTGTGCTTCCCCGGGCCTATTTGTGCTGAATACGAAAATCTACACTGGAAAGCGCGAAAACGGCGAAAAAGGGCTCTAATGCAGGACCGAAGTCAAAAGGGAGCGGGGTCTTACCACTGTGAATTCATAGTCCCAGCATCCGGAGTGACTTTTTCAATTCCGATTTTAGATCATGCATTCGCACTTGGTCTGTGGAGATGTCAGGGCGGTTAGCGGAATTGACATCGCTCCGGAAGCTGGGACGGTGAATTCACTGTGGGGAAGACCCCGCCCACTTTTGATTACACTCCTGTCGCCGTTTCCAGTGTGGATTTTTGGATCCAGCATAGCGAAAAGGCCCGGATAAGCACAAAATCTCAAAATCGAATTTTTGCCCGGACACTTCTTACACGATGTAGGTTAAGGCGCAACCCGAGTGAGGTACGCCGCAGCGGTAGGGCTACCCCAAGTATTATTTGATTCTACCTAACGGAGTGGAGTTTCTAGGCTTACGAAGTGAACTTTAACAGTTGGGCGGACATTAGATGATGTCGGAAGATAAGAAAACAAATTCTCGATTCGCACTCAAGTCGTCTTTGTGAGCGGCAGGCTAAGAGGTTCATCCATCCTTCCTGGACCTTACAAGCATGCTAATCGGGTCGGGTCAAGTATAGGCGCTTGACGTGCTTACAGGATGCGCCGGCGGTCACTTATCGGGTTCAACACCGGTTTACCGGGCACTCGTGTTGTGGATGATTGGTGATCGGGCAAGCACTTGCGAACTTCTCGATGTAATTGTCTGAGCATACAATACACTTCGGAGCGAGTGTCATAAGCAACTTTTCGATATCGATCGATATCGATTTCATCGATTTTCATCGATTTTTTGCAAAGTTCGACCTACGGGGCTGATATTTGGCACAGAGGGGTAAGTGAGCATGCTGTTAACTAAAACAGCGGGAATAGGGAATTAGCATTTAGACGTGGGCACAGGCAAAGGTTGTACAGGGATAGGGATGAGAGCTTTGTCATCATGTTTTGACAGGGCCGGAGTAGCCGGGTAAAGCAGCTAGTTAACATATAAGACAACCATAGAAACGTAAGAATACCAGCATAAGAAGCAAGAAACCCTGCAAGTATCATATTAGTGCGAGTAAGTTCTCCCTACAAGCTTCACGGACAAAACTGACCCAGTGCGCTTTGGTTGCAAAAGCGGCAACCAGCGTGGTCTGAAGTCTCTTAGAGGTTTCCATTGCTGATTGCGAAGAAGTAATCATTGCTTTGTGAAGATGGGCCAGGCTTTGAGCACATGAAGGCGTAATGTTCATTAAAATGTTGAATATTATTCCGTAGAGGCTCTGTGGAAAACTTGTTCAAGAGGTCACAGGTCACACCATAAATTGATTGAACAGACGTTTTTATGAATCGATAAAGTTAGAGATGACTGTTTAAGTTGGTGACACTGATTTCTTGCATGTGCATGAAACAAATCTTTGTAGATTATTGGCATAATCAAGCGTAAGTTCACAGAGTTTAAGACTGCGTCACCTCTATCTAGCTTTGTAGCTGAATTTTTGATCAGTTATTTGACATAGACTTAAAGAACAATATTTCATTACTGATGAATAAATGTTGGCTTCATTCACAATCAAAAAGTAGTCAATAACATGTGTAATTTAGTTTACGATAGGCCTATGGTAAGAGGGTCTACCGTTCGCTGAAACTCCGCTTATGTTCTCACATGATATGCTATTTCACCATCTTCTGCTCATTTATTACGGCAGCCATCAATTTTCATCTTTTTTGCTTTCTTCTTCACGTTCCTTGCTCGTAACACCTCTTCATTCTAGTCAGACCCCTCATCATTGTTTAAAACCCCTCCAAACTCTACCTCCAGTATAACCACCGGGTCAGGCGCCTGACCTGATCGTGAGCACTAAGATAATAACATCCATTTCTTGTACAGCTTACTGAGTCTTTTCTGACAAAACTGTGTTTAATGCTGTACTTGTTACTTATGCACTAGCCTCAAGTGCAGGATGCCTCGCTTTTGGTGTCTAAACTGAGTCAAGACTTAAACATCATAGTAATCTGTACAACTTTTTATTCTTATGTGTTTGATTTGAAACACGGAGAAGCGGAAACGCGAATACACTTTAGAAAGCTCCAGAATATTTTTCTTGACAACAACAACAATAATAATGCTTAATGTTAACCTATTAAGAAAACTTGGTTGAACTGTCACAGTTCGGATAGCAACCATTGATTTTAAAGGCATCAAGGAATGGGTGTATACGAGATTCATTTGCAAAGTAATCCCGGTAGAAGTCCTCGGAGCCTTTCAGTTCAGTGCTGTAAATAATAATTTGAAAGCATGGATTGCGTCTAATAAATTGGAGTAATACTACAGCTTATTTCTAATTCTTGAAGCTAACGAAGTTTATATTGCTACACTGCTTCGAATTCATCAGTCTTCCTAAAAAAAACTTCTTCAATCAATAATGTTTAACGTGGAAACAGCGTCTTGCAGACTGTTTATAGATCTGAATCTGCGCATTGTCGTCGTTATCTGGCTTTTTGAAGTTTGATTGGTACGGGTAGCTCATGTTCTTTATTGTGATCTGCCTTGTCTTAAACAGTATAAAGAACGAAAGATGAATTGCTTAGCATAGCAAAAGATTGAGTGCATTTAAAATTGGAAAAAGTCATAATACGAATAAGCTCCTGTCGATGCAACCAAGCAGAACATTTTGAAGTTGCGAAGATCCAGAAAAGACGGATCACGGCGACAGAAGAACCATATAATGATGACGGTGAGTGGAATGATGACTGTATGTAAGTCAAGGTGCACATGATTGAGAGTACGAAAAGAGCATGAAGGATAAGCAGGCGTAGACGAATGCTTCGGAGCTACGGGAGAAAGATGTCAGAGCGGTATGAAGGCACCCAAGTGCGCCGTTTTGCGAATTAACTCAATGCAAAAGATTAAATCTTTTCAAATTTTAATATATATTTCAATATATATTTCAACATTAGCGATATACGGATGTGCTGCTTTGTTATATTTTTAACAAAGACGCTCTAAAAAGTCGTAAAAGTCGGATACCTTTCATTGTTTGGGTATTACAATAGTCGAATGATAGTAAATGAATAATAGAACTCGGAAAAGACATGGAAGCTGGAGACAAATGAGCGTATTGCTGTATGCAACACTGCTACTGCCTTTAGAGATTAAGAAATTCCGAAATTAACTGTAAGTTCTTTTAATGAGCTCCAATATGTGCGAAGCAAAGAATTAGGTTGATTGAAATTTTCGGGTGAAAAAAAGACGCCATTTCGTAAATTCAGTGCAGCCCCATAAAAAACCTTATGCACGATGAACACAATTTTTAAGAATACCGCGTTGATTACAGCTTAGCAAGTTTGAATTGTATCTTTACTTCTTTTCGTATTACACCCTTATATGCACTTCCAAAAAATTCTTTCCTTTTACACCCTTACAAACGCTTCCAAAACATGGCGAAACAGTGACCACTTTCACTCATATCATAGTGTACAGTTTGTTAAGTATGATTGAGCATAAATTTGCAAGAATCAACTATTGAGGGAGGAGTCGCAAAACTTAATCTCCAAAGTAACAGGTTTCTACATTTAAGTAACGTACCGCAATCTTTCCACGCTCACTTTCTTTTCTTTTCGCCATTTCCATGCCTTCAAACCTTTGTCGCAAAGACTCAGTTCAATGTCCTTTTCGAAAGGTGTTTCATCAAGCTTTGTTTCTTTCCATCCGTGAAGCATGAAATCTGCTTTGCACCAACTAAGATGGGTACATAATTCATGAAAATCATATTGCATAATAACATACTATCCGTTCGTAGCCCATCCATCGCGAACGAAGGCGTGAAATTTACGAAAAATATGCACTTTGCCGGGCCACGTCTTCGTCACTCCCAGTGCCTGCCTCACACAATAGACCATCGCCATATATGTTTCGTAGCTAGTGGCGTTTTTCCAGTATTTTTCACAGGCTTCATACTCAAGAGTACTCTCGGGAATCAGCAGTTTCAAGAGGAGTAACTAAGATGGCAAGATTACTGGACTACTCTACATATTGTTAAAGCAAATCGTTTGAATAAAGATTTTTTATTTGAAAAGTAAAATACAAATATGCTGCAAATAACTTTTTTATTATAGCCTTTCAGCAGTTTAGATAATCAAAGAGATTTCAAGAGAGTATGTCACGTTAACCAACCTGCAAAGGTCCTTGATCATACCCGTGCCATGAGTCAGGGAGTCGGAATTCGAAATTGGCCCACTCTTCAAGAAACTTCATTCCAAATTCTGAGTTTTTGACCTAAACTAGTTTCATCGCTCAGAACGCAGAGACAGTAAAAGATAAGCACCAAGTAGTTGCCAGCCGCTATCTCCCAGTTGAAAAAGCGTTCGTAAAATATAACATTGACTCGATCATCAATCCACTCTTCAATGCAATGATTGGGATTGACAACTCCTGAAAGACGGTTGCAACAAAAACTCCACTTTAACATTTTTATTACTGTCAATCTGCAAGGTTTTGATTTTCCTAAGCTGTAAGCAGTGGTCTTGGTGATTATGTGCAACATTCGGCATTGTCAACGGCACTTTTTTGTCATTTATGCATACGATGCTGGATAGATGAAAGAAGTTGTGAAAAGCAGCGCCCAGCCAAATCGGAGAACGCACGTAAAATACTGATTTTCGGGTCCGTGTAAGACAGGGACAGACGATGCACTCGCGGTTGAGGTATTCATCTCCAAACCAGTTGGAATATAAGACGGACGATTTGCACCTGTCTGCACATGCTGTTGGTGGGGACCCACTGTCTTGATGGTTCCACGCGTAAAAGTACGTGGTTCGGTGAGTGCTGAATCACTCATTGCAGCGGTGATACTCTAGATGATTTTACTGCGCAGATACCGGTCAAAGTTTATAATTGGACGAAGTGATTGACTTCACATTTTAGCAGGTATCAAGATTATAAAAGTGGATGATCTCATATAGGTATCGGCTGTACGAAAATTTATCTTCTAACACCTTATAAAGTTGAGGGTAAATCATTTTTCTTTTCTTCAAAAAGCTACAATTATCTGCAAGTATACCATTAAGGTCTATAACACTTTCAAAGACCCTCGTTGATGCAACATGAAATGGTGCTTAAGGCGGTGAAAAAAACCAAAAGCAAATCTTGCTGAGACTGAGTTTGACCTTAAATGACACTGATCTGATCACTTGTCTTGACTTTCAGCAAGACTCAATAGTATATTACCAAAAGAAGCCTTTTATTTTTCTGAGGCTAAAAATTAGATTTTACAAGCAAAAAATGTTTTGCTTTCCCTAGCATCTTTTGAGGAGTCAAACTGGTTCACCGTCAAGGAAAAGGAAATGCTCGCACATGTTGAAGCTTAAGGTTCTCTGGAAGCAGATAAGCTAAGAAGCGGAGATTTTGCATTAGCCTATCTACTCAAATATCAAAACATCAATAACACTGACTACGTTTGCCTAATCTATGCACTGTGCATAATTTATGCATAGTCATCCTTCTGATTGGTCGACTTTAGCTGGTAGTGGTAGACGTAGTGGTCATTAACGTAGCCATAGTCATGTTTCAATTGTTACCTAATCCTTGTTTTAGAATGCGCATGCAGCGGATGAAAGCCAAACTGCCTTCGTACGCCGAACAGTTTTGCTCGACATTTGGGCAAACCTATGCAGAGTTTGAGTCTTCTCAAAGGCAGTGGATTGGCAGAATGGGCGGTTTTTGGATTTTGGTGGATTTAGGTAGTAGAATCCCAAGTACACTGTAGCTCAAATCCTACCTTTCAATTCATGCGCTAAGTCCTAAGAAATCCGCTTCAACTCCATCAGCCCCGCCCATTCAATAGAAATGGGCTGGGCTGGTGGAGATTGAAAAGCACTTCGATTACTTAGAGCATGAATTGGAAGGTGGGGTCTGGGCTACAGTGTACTTGGGAAGTGTACCTAAATCCACTAAAATTCGAGAAGGGTCCACTGCCTTCAAGTTAGCTGTTGTCAGAATAGAGTCATTTGTCTAACTTTAGCTGCAGTGATTTAAAAATTGAACACACCTGTATCTCCATCAAGAACGAGCAACCAATCAGTTTGAGGAAGAAATGCTCTTGCTGCGCAATGCTTTTTGAAAAAGAGCTAAAATTTGATTTTCTTGACAAATTTGCTTATGTAGAGCGCGTTGACAGCTTACATCGTTGTGTTTTCCACACTTGCTTTGCACCAAGCTGTCCTTGTCGAGATCTACAAAAAGTAGAGGATAGCTAGTCCCCTTGAGGTAGCATCGCAGAGATCGTTGAGCGATTCCATACATGCTGAAGAAAAAAACTATGTAGATTTCTATTTGGACCCTTACGCCATGTAGCAGTACATACCGCTCAATGTTCGTGCTATTTCCAGTGTAGGCTACAAACACAGTGATTTTTCCAAACTGTGGTTCGCATTTTTCCATGTTTTTTCTTTTTGGGTAAGTTCCAAATCTGCAAAAAAATCTATGGTTAAGCATCGATCTGGAAAAACTTCTGATTGCTTAATAGTAAACTAGTTGACGCGTGTAGCATTTTGTACATACGGTTCCAGCCTTTCTAAAATATGAAAATTGTTGGAATATTATCAATAATTTTAATATCTGTCGTTGAGTAGTTTTTTTTCGAAACTCACTTTCACAAAGTATGTCGCGTTACCCTATAGAGTCAGACTTTGTTTCAGTCGTACTCATTATCTCCTCTAAGCACTCAAGCACTCACTGGAGAAATTACTGAATAAACATGAAACCGGCTGGTCCTGCAGGCCGGATTGTATCCAATAGAAATAATAAGTAAAATAAATTTTGGACCCATTATGGCATTTGGACATACCCGAGCATGCAATATTCTGACGTAGAAAGGTGCCTTCAATCGGCAAAAAAGCTGCAAAGTTGGGCTGAAGAAGAGTTTTCTGGCAAATTTGGTCTAGTCTACCATGTTTACGATCATTCCCTAGCACGAGGGCGGCAAAGGTCAAGCTGGATCCGTTTTGTGGGAAAATCTTAACAGGGATCTCAATTAAACGTTCACGTGCACATAGCACCCCTTCAACAAACTGTTACACAGTTACACAAGTATAGTTGTAATAAACGGAAATTTGTATGAAAAGAACGAATATCAGTAAATGATTTAAAAATTTTACGAATGAATAAATATCGATTAACTGATCATCGAATAATTTCCAAACCAACAAATGTTATTCGGTCTCCTATTTCATACCACTTGAAGCTGAATGTTCGTATTTTGGCACACTTCAAAACTCGAATTTTCGAATATCCTAACAGCTGTACATATTTGACAGAATATTCGACTATTCGAACAATCGAACGACTGGATATCCTCAAATATTCAAAAATTCGAATGCAATATTCGAATATGCAAAAAAAGCTCGCATATGAAGCTTGACAATAAACATTTTAACACTCGAAAATTCGAATATACAGGGTGTCCCAAAAGTATGTATGCACTGTTTGATCGTTAATATCTCTCTTCCCGAGAAGTCTTTCGCCTTGCTTTAGCTACCATTTTGTAGAGCTGGCTTCAAGTTAGATTTTCTGTATAGAACATCATCCATCTCTCTTCGTTACTGTAGGATTACGGCAGGAACTTGAAACATATGGTGTCAATGTGAAAAAAGCTGCCAATTCAAAATTTTTCAAAAAAATGTGAAAATTTGTGTAATAGGGTTTTTATAAACGCTGAGCTCAATACTCAACTATTCATAAGATTGCGAAGCTTTCTAAACGGTGTAACCGCACTTTTTAGGAACATTGAAAAAATGGCCGCTACATCTTACCTGGCATAACTCTTCAATGAAGTATCGTAATAAGTTGAGTCACTTTACAATTAGAATCAGCAACTCTAATTAGCCTAGTGTGAAAGTTTTCAGGCTGTTTTGTTTCTTTTCTGGGGCAAAATATGGCCTTCCATGGCTCAAAACCCTCTTTGAAGTTTCTGCCGTAATCCTACAGTAACGAAGAGAGATGGATGATTCGTTCTATACTGAAAATCTAAGTTGAAGCCAGCTCTACAAAATGGTACCTAAAGCAAGACGAAAGACTTTTTGAGAAGAGAGATATTAACAATCAAACCGTGCATACATACTTTTGGGACACCCTAAATGTTAGGTTGTCCCGAAAGTTGTGTCGGTTTTTTTCATTGATCACTAAAACATTGTCGGATCACTAAAACTTACAAAACACAACAAGAACGACCTACGTACCATTTGATTCAGACTTCTGTTCTCTTTCATAGCTATATTTGCTCTCTGATCTACGCTGTCTTTTCAATATTATCACCATGGTCATTTTTGAGGCTCAACAGTAACGCCAAATCTTCCCTGAATTTCAAAAAGAATCATATCCTAATGCTTTCAAGAAGCGCTGGTAGATATTATGTAGAAACCTTCGGCTTATTATATCAGGTTGTCCCAAAAGTAAACCATTTTTAATAAATAAAACTGCTTTTGTTTTCTTAGCTCATTTGAGGTTCCATTCGATAAAGCAAAGCAAGCTCTACGAAATGACCACCTTTGACAAACCAAAGGTGGCCATTTCGTAGAGCTTAATCCTTATAGAAACTTTCTACGAGCTTCCTACTTGCTCGTTATACAGTAGACACATAGTAGTACCCAAAAATGTATTTCTGAATTTTCTCAGGGGTCCAAAATTGAGGAACAAAATGGCACAAAAATGCCAAAATGTCGCTTTTTTCGGGTTTTTCAAGTAAAACTTGATATTTCTACATTACCAAAGCTCGAACAGAGGTAAAAGTCTAAATTTATACTTAGTAAGGCTTATTAGGTTGTCTGAAAATCAATGCAGATTTTGATTTTCAACCGCAATAAGTCATAGCTTGTCATTCCTAAATAGGATGCAAAATATTATCCGATAGAGCAAAGCAAGCTCTACAAGAAGGCTATCTTGCTTTTACAAGCGCTTTCATTCACCTCGAGTTACGAGCCAAAACTAAGAAGATCCAACTGCTTAAAAAATCGAGAATAATCGTAACTTAGTTGAAAAAAATCCTACAAAAATTCCAACTTGTTCACGCAAACACTATTCACATAAGACTATATACGCCGTTGTCGTATTTTTTTCTGTTAGAAATCGAGAAAACGGAAAATTTCGTACATTTGGCAAAGTGACGCTGTGCCGTCCTCACATAAGTAGTTGTATTCTACAAACCTGTAGAAGTACAAACGTAAGATTTCGTGAAATATCGAATATAGCTTTCCCTGGTCAGGTGGTCCAAGCTAAAATTCGAATTTCTCGAGAACAA